GCACCAGCCAGGCCATGAATTTTTTAACTTATTGTTTTTAGAGAGAGAGGAAGAACGAGAGAAAAGAACATCAGTGTGTTGTTGTACTTAAGATACAATCATTGGTTAATGACTGTTTGTGCCCTGACCAGGGATTGACTTGAGACCCTGGCATGTTGGTAGGACACTAACCAACTGAGCGAGGCCTAGGCTGACACACCTTTGAAATGTCAGAAGTAATGCCCCTGGGAGGGGGTATTAACCCTCAAGAGAGCACATAACCTCGTTAATTATCTTGTAATCTAATCCCTGCCTTGCAGTCTACCACCTCCATGTAATCGTCTTTCCATTCCCTCCTTAATTTCAAATTCATAAAAGACACTGTAAAACTGCCCGTCCTGACTGGTGTGGATAAACGGTGGATAAACACAGCCTCCCAACCACAGGCCCGCTGGGCTACTAAGACGGGGCCTCCCCCAGGGCCCCCATATCTCTGCAGGAAGGGAGCCGGCACTGCGCACCGTTTTATGGAATGTTCCAGAATACTAGCTCTCAGTGTGTTTCTGTAAATCAGGTTCTGTGTTGTCATTAATTCCACTGTAAACCCAAAGACAGAGCCCCCAGGGGAAAAAATTCCCACCCGGGAACGTACTAAAATTCACCCCGTCACGCTGAGGTTCACCGGCCCACCTGCTGGACACGAGGTGCTTTGCCAGCCACTCGTGGTGCATCTGTCCCTCACCCCAAGCCACGTCCTAGCAGGTCTGCATCTAAAAGCACCGCAAGCCAAAGAGAACTTGCAGACTTTGCGCACCTGCCTACAAATAAAAGGTCCCGGGTTGCCCGCCACGGGCCACGGCCAGGCCTGCCTCCGCCAGCTCAGCTGTCTGAGAGCTGACCACGGTCCCCAAAGGCTCTTAGGGAACCTTTGCCCCAGAGACCTACCAGAAATTCTGGTTTTTAAGTTCTTCTCCATGCCGCACGGCCCCATAAGGGAGCCCCCGGGCACAGGAGGCTAGCTAGCTACGTTTACACTTAGATAAATTCAAACAAATGCGGTAAAGAATTCAGCTTCTCCAAGTGCGGCCCCATTTCAAGCCCTCGCAGGCTCCGTGCGGCTCACAGCTGCCCGAGGGCAGCACGGACGAGGAGTGCGCTGCTCCGCGCGCCCGCCGGCCGCCCGCGACCTGCCACCCCCTCGCCTTCATCCTGACACACACTCAGGGGGCTCCTAGTGCGGTCCGCACACAGGCTGCGCCTCAGCCGCATGACAGGGTGTGAGCGTATGCTTGCGTGACAGCGGGAAGGCTGGACACCAAGTCCCCTGGTGGGAACAATCCTCCCGCCGCCTTCGATCAAAGTCTCCTCAGCCAAGTCTTCAACCTCTGAGAGCCCCACTGTCCCCACTGCAGAAGGACAGAGCTGGACTGGGGCCTCTACGGGTCCTTCTGGGTCTGACATTCTGAGTTCAACTAGGAAAAATGTAATTCACTAACGAAATGTTAATTAATAGGACTTCAAATAAACCAAAGGAAAAGTGCTCTTCTGAGACGTTAAAGGCTGTCCCAAAACCTGCATCTGTAGGGCTGGACCAGAAGGAGGGAAGAGCGCCATGCGGCGGCCTGGCCCTCCGAAGTTCGGGCTCTCAGAGACAAAGGGTTCCCTTTGTGAGCTCACGTTTAGAGTTGCTGGGCACCATGCCCCGGCGTTAACCCCCACCGCAACTGCGAGAAGGGCACTCTTATCGCCTCCCATTCACAGATGAGAAAACTGAGGCCAAGCAAGGTTGAGGGACGTGTTGGGGACCACCTGCGTGGTATCAGGAACGGCAGCCCCACACGGGCCAGGCCTTGAAAAGGGCCTGTGAGCCTCGACTAGAAAACTAGGAAGGCCGGGGGCAGGCATAACCCGATGCTGACGCCGAGGGCCCCCGGGGAGATCTGGCCTGAAGAATGCGACAGAACCACTGAGGCTTGCTCAGTCCCGCACTGCCCTGATAAGGAAAGACCAGGTGTCTGACTCCGCAGCGGGGAGAAAGTCCCTGAGCCCCATCCGGCGCCGGCACGTCCGACAGACCCTCATCTAAACAGCCGTGGCCTTTTGATGCGGGCTGATAAGCCCTGCCTGCCTGCTGTACACCCCTGTGCTATCATTCTCAATAGAAGCCACTTCAGGGAGGGCTCGGGGCGTTCTCCACCAGAGGGGCTCACCACCTCTTTTTCCTGACAGACAAATCGTGTCTGGTACAAGTGCTTTCTTCATCCCGGCAGCTGCGAAGACGCTGAGGGACAGAGCCTCCCTCAGGGACAGAGCCTCCCTCAAGGACGTGCCTGAAGCTAGGCACCTCCAAGAGGCAGAGCTGGGATTCGAACCCAGGCCATCGGCCTCCTGAGCCTGTGTCCTACTTATGAGACAAAAAGAGCTTCCTTTTACTTACAAAGTACCAGTCACCCTGCCAGGCACCAATGCACTTTCTTTTCTTCAACCTTCAAGACGCCCCACGAGAAAACGGGGGCACAGAAGGGTCAGGCAGCCGAGGGGCTGAGGGGGAACCCACACACAGGCTGGGGACCTGCCGGGCGGGCTCTCACCCCTGCCCTGGCCAGCCCTCAGAGCCCCTTCCCCTTTGCACCTCCTCCAAACCCTAAGCATGTGACCACTCTTAACCTCCTAGGATGCTGGCTGGGGGGTTGGGCGCCCTCCCCTGCTGAACTGTGTAACGGCCTAAGGCAGGAGCCAAACGTTCCAGGTCCCTGTCCCCTCCTCGGATGCTGCACTTTGCTCCCTGGAGGTGTCCAGTGAAACTTGATAAATTCATGGGCTTGGCTGTGCTGGGCCAGGAGGCTCCTCTTTCAACCCAGGGTGTCGGCTCTGGTGTCCTTAAAGGGCTCCCCACCCTGATGACCCCACTCTCCCCACATCCTGGGGTTACTCTGGGCCAAGTCCCTGTGACCACAGCCCTCATCACAGCCCTCCCCACTCTGGCAGCCGTGCCGGACACCTGAGGCTCACCCCAGCCAGGTATCCTGCCCAAGCACCCCACAGCCGGCGGCCACGCAGGACAACACATAGCCGTGAACGGTGGCAGCTGGAAAGCACATGGGCAGGCAGGCTGCTGTGCACACGCAAGGGTCGAACGCTTCCCACAGACCTACCGCCTGCGACAAGGGGGACGGGATTTTATAACGATTTTTTAAACTTACCGAAGTAACGTCGGTTAGTAACATCGTATGAATTTCAAGTGTTTTTTTTTCCTTTTATGTTTGATATTTATTATTTTTAAATGAAATTTAGTGGGGTGACACTGGTTAATAACTTTATGTAAACTTCAGGTGAGAAGCTGGTTTTAAAAAAGACTGTACATACAGACCTGCTATCCATCATCCTAATGAAGTAAATAAAAGCCCAGCCTTCCACGAGTAGGCTGAAATCAGTATCCTCTCTTGGGGGCGGGGGGAACGCAGGGAAAAGAACAGGAGGCTGGGGACAGAAGACTTGGGGGGCCTGCCCCTCCGGCTCTCATGGCCAGGTGGCTTACCGAGTCACTGGGTCTCCCCAGCCGTTTCCTCTTCCACACGCAGCAGGGCAGGGCAGATCCCTGCCTCCTTCCGCAGGAAGGTGGGCAAACCCAGTCAGGTGAGAAATACGCACAAGCCCTTTGGGGAGGGTGAACTGAAGGTCACCCAGCCAGCAGGAGACAGAGCCTGATCCTAGGACCTGATTCCAGGCCTATCTGTCTCCAAATATCAGTTACGTGCTATTCTTTTTGCGCAGGAACTTGGTTGGAGTGGGTGGGGCCAAGACAGCCCCACAGCCCATAACAAAGCAAGTGGAGCAAGGCTTCCCCCACAGATTCCCCCTCCCTGGAAAAGCCAAAACTGACCTCAAGGTCAGCAAAGACCTGGACTAGCCCAGGAGACGGGGTGCGGACGGGTCGCCCCACTGCTCCAGCACTTACTCTTCAGAGGGCTGCAGACATCCCCAGGAAACTAATCTGGCTTGGACCCAAAGGGCAGTATAACACGCAAAGTCCAACCCCCCACCCCACTCGGCAAAACAGGAACCTGAAGCCGCTCTCACTCTCGGTGGCGCCTGATGCAGGAGGGGCTCCTGGCCCCACTGCCTACGCGCTACCGTCCCGAGCCCATCCCCTTACTTAGCCCACTACCAAATACCCGCGTGCCTGCTTTCGATTCCGCCCAAGGGAACGGAGAGTAACCTTGAGGCTGCCCTCCATCCTCCTGTGCGCGAACAGCCAGCTCCCCATCTCGCACTTCCTCTGCGGGCCTCCCCCTCTACCCAGGTCCCCTGGAGGAAGGCAGGGGTGGTCCGCTGATAACAACCGTTTGCCCCCATTGTGTAAGACGCTTCCAGGCTCAGTGGACCATTCCTCCTTCTTAGTAGTCAACTCTTAGAGAGGAGGGGCATTTTCTGTCCTTCCTATTAGTTCTGGCTCCCCTCAAAACCAGAGTCTGTGCCCGCAGTGGGACTGGACAGCTGCAGCCCCCGCCCAATAGGGCACCCATCGAAGGGCTCGCGGAGCTCCGGACGCCGACCAGCGAGCTGGTTACCTGCGCCTCACTTCTCGGGAGATCCGCTTGGCTTTGCACCTCCGCCCAGAGAAGGAGCATGAACTAGGGGGTTCAGTGGGACCTGAGCTGGGGCTGCAGCGTGTTCGGGCACCGGGGCGGGGCGGGGCGGGGCGCGGGGGCTTCACTCCGACCCCCGCCCGGCAAAGGCGTCGCGCCGATCGCGCAAACGGCCTGCGTGACCGCAGCGCCGCCCCCGGAATGCGCCAGAGGCCCGCGGGGAGGCGCGCTGGGAGGCCGCCGGTTCTTCACACCCGAGTCGCACCCAGCGGTGGGGGTCCCGGGGTGGGGTAGGCACAGTCCGGCGGCGGGTGGCGAGCCGGAGGTCAGGGACCTGGGACACGGGCGGGGAGAGCGCAGAGGCTGCTCCGGGCAGGCCCAGGGCGGTGCCTCGGCACATCGGCCGCTCGCCGCACCGTGCATCCCTCTTACCGGCAGATCTGGATGGCGGAAGGGGTATCCACGGCGGGGTCCGACATGCTGGCGGCAGCGGCGGCGTTGGCGGCGGGCGGCTGAAGGAGAGGGCAGGTGTCTGGCAGACCCGGCGAGGAATGAATGAGCCCAGGCGGCTCCATGGAGGGGGAGGGAGGAGGCGGAGCCATGGCGTCCGTGAAGAGGGGCTTGCGTGCTGGTAGCGAATCAGAGGCGTTCTCCTGCGCAAGTCCCGCCCCGCGCGCCCCACGCCCCAGGCTTCTCTAGCGATCGGTTCTCGCTGCCGGGCATCGCTTCCAGAAGGTTCTGCAACTGTTAGGCGGCGCCGGTGGGGTGGGGCCTGGCCCGCCCCCCACAGCACAGCTCAGACTCACAGCGGGCCAACTCGGAGGGCGAGGCCGACGCCGAGTCCCGGTGGCTGTTGTGCCGCAGAAAGGCGTGCGGGAGTGCGTGTCGCGGTCTCGCTGTCTGAAATCCAGCAGGAGAGGAAGTTGCAGGCGGTTTCCTGTAAAATGAGCGTGCAGGGCCGAGCTGCTGTGTGGGTTCTGCAGGGAGGCACGTGGGTGCACAAAAGGGAAAGCCCAGATCCGTCAGGCCCCCCAAGTGCCTCTGCAGCAGCGGCCACTGCACAAAGCTGCGGAATTGGCGCTGGGGAGAAGCAGGACTGGGGTCAGTCTGCACGGCCCGTTGCCAACCCGCCACAGACCGTACCAGCTCAGCTGGGTCCGGATGTTATTGCATCCTGGATTCTGTAACGAGAACATGGTGCCGCAGAATTAATCACTTGTGTATGACTGTCACCTGTTTACGAGGTTGCCCTCTATCCAAGGAGGACCGAAATGGGGGGCCCGGTCTGTTAGGAAAAACATCATGAGTTATTTTTACTGACGTGTTGATAGGTTTCCGTCATTTCTCTCCTTACAGTCACTCACCTTCCCGTTTTAGCTTTTTCTGCTTTCTCAAACCACTGGGCCTTCTCTACCCGTCTCAGCAAAAACTCCTCAAACAGAGCTGTTTGTACAGACACCCTCTCTCCTCTTCCCTCCTCCCACGCCCTTGGGAACCCTTTTCCCTCTGGGTTTGTCTCTGCTGTTCAGTTATCAAGGTCACTAATTCCTTCCAAGTTGCTAAGTCTTCCAACAGTGCATGTCAGAAGCCATCTTCCTTGACCTCTCTTCTGGGAACGTGTATCTTTTGCCTCCCAAGCTGCCACACACGCGCCTATTTTTCTGGCCACTCTGCTCACCCATCCCTGCTGGTGCCTCTGGGGACTTGAGAGAAGTGGCAGGGCTTGGGGTCGGGGTCCCGCCCTGTCCCAAGACTTTAAATCCCACCAATTCAGTAACTGCCACGTATCCGCGGCCGAGGCCGCCCCCCTAAACTGCAGACCCATGTGCTGCCGCCGGGGCCACAGCTCGCCTGGGGCACGTGTAGGCATCGCACGCTCCCCGAGTCCTGCTGCTCCCCAGAACGTGTTCTGCTCCCAGCCTTCCCTGCTCAGAAAGTTACAACCCCTTCCTTCCGGGAGCGCAGGCTGACCTGGCAGTCACCCTTGCGCCCCTCTCTCTCACACCCTCATGCAGCCACCAGCAGACCCCGCTGGCTCTGCGTGCCATGGAAGCCTGGAATGGGATGATGTCTCCCTGTGGCATCGGGAATCTGCCCTCCTGGCTCCCCATGCCTGGCCTCGCCTGCTGCCGTCCCCCTTGGTCCCTGAGCCGCAGCCCCTCTGACCTCCCTGGCAGCCCTGAGTACACGGGACTGCTGGTCCCCAGGGACCCCGTGTCTCACCCCCTCACCCCCTCGGTTCTTTACTCTAAAATCCACGATTCCCCAGCACCCCCTCATCCTCCTCCCTGGTTTATTTTCCTCCTTAGCACTTAACACCATTGAACATGCCGTTTACTCATCTCTTTATTGTATCTCTCCCAATGAGAATGTGTATTCCGCGTGGGCATGATTTTTTTACTATTTTGTTCATTGCTGCATCCCAAAGGTCCTAGAAGGGTGCTTAGCACATAACTGGTGCTCAATAAATATTTCACAAATGATTGGACCAGTAGAGGTTGACCAATAGCAATATATTCAACAACAGTAGATATTTGCACACTCTCTTTAGACTTAGAAATATTATCCATAAATCATCACTTTAAAAACATAAATATATCATTTAAATAACTTCTAATATGTATGGAAAAATACTGAAGAAACCGTTGACGCCGGTTAAGCTTTGGGGAGAAGGACAAAAAGGCGAGGCCCCTCCTCTGCGTTCGTAGGATTTTGCGCCGCGACCTCTGACCTAGTATCCCTTCATGTCGCCATGGAGTATCAGATAGGAAGCAATGGCAGCACTAACCGTCATTACACCTCTTTGGAAAATAGCTAAAAATGGTTACTAAAGTTGAAAGCAGCCATACCCTTTACCCAGCAATTCCACTTCCGGGCATATGTCCTGTCTACTGGGCGTGAGTGCATCCCGAGGTGCTTCAGAGGGGTCCGTAGCAACACCAGGACAACCCCGGCTGGAGGTAACAACTCCAGTGCCCACCAACAGCAGCCCGGCCCAGTCCACTCTCGGGCACTCATCCGTGGAGGGCCCAACGGCCAAATCGAGCGAATTCAGTTACACACAACAAGGAAGGTTCACAGTGTTGAGGAAAAGAAGATCCAGGAGACAGCACGGAAGCATGCACCAAAGGTCCAATGCACCTTTTGCACCATTACCAAAAAGACGAAGAGAGGGAACGCTGGCGAGGATGTGGAAGAAAGGGAAGCCTTGTGTGCTGTTGGTAGGAATGTAAATGCTATATTCCTACCAACAGCTGCTACAGAACATAGTATGGAGGTTCCGCATAACTCATATGACTCATCAGTCCCACTTCTGAAGGAAACAAACCATTATCTCAAAGAGATATCTGCACGCTCACGCCCCTCCCAGGAACACCTGCAATAGCCAAGGTATGGCCCTGGCTGGGTAGCTCCATTGGTTAGAGTGTTTTCTCAATGCAATAAGGTTGTGGGTTCCCTCGCTGGTCAGGGCCCACACAAGAATCAGCCAACGAACGCGTGAATAAGTGCAGCAACCCCTTGAGGTTTTGCGCGCTCTCTCTGAAAATAAGAGGAAAATAAAAAAAAATAAATAACCAAGGAATGGAAGCAACCTAAGTGGCCATCATCAGATAAATGGATCAAGGAGATACACAGTCCGTCCTGGGCACCCGTGGGGCCCACGTCGGTGGGCACAGAAGACTGACTGAGACACTTAGCACCCACGGAGTGTGGCGTCCACAGGGAGCTCCTGAAACCAACACCCTGCGGATACAGAGGGGGACAACCACAAGTGCACATTTCTATAAGGGAATATTATTCAGCTTTAAAAAGGAAGCAACTCCTGGCACCTGTGACAACATGGGTGAGCCTGGAGGACATCATGCTAAGTGAAGTCAGACAGAGGCAGGTACTGCTGGACACAGGCTTGTGTGGCCTTAGCTCAGCTCTGTATTTGTGCCTTTGTTTTATAAGAGAAAAATGGGGAAACAATAGTATGTGCCCCTTTGAGTTTGTGTTGCCAGGTGGGAACAATAGGGGGAGGCTGGTGAAAGGTACAGACTTCCAGCTGTGAGAAGCCGTCTGAGGACCTAACATCAGACACAGGGACCGTAGCTGGTAACAATCTAGTGTGTAACTGAAATTTGCCAGAAACAGCGCACTCACCGTTCCCGGCCCCGGCCGCGCCCCAGGCGGGTTGCCTCTGTCTGGTCCTCTCCTGAGCTCCGAGGGCCCCTCCGCCTCCGTACCTTGTTTCCTGAGCCCACGCGGCCCCGCCGCCTTCCTCCGATGGCCTCTGTAACTTTATGAATAATCTTGCTCTTATAATTCGAAAACAAAATGAAATCTGCTAAGAACAACTAATCCTATTTGTTAGGAAAACATAAGTAGGTGGTCAAGCTGTAGAGAAAAACAAGGAAATGATTGTAACAAAAGACAGCGGGTTGCTCTCCAGGAGAGAGAGAGGCGGGTGCCCAGGGCGAGCGAGGGAGGGTTGCTTCCCGGGGTCCCCGGGGGACGCCGCACGGGTTTATCATGGTGTTTCGACGTCAGGTATGTGCATCGTGCATTTCATGTCTGTTAAAAGTCAGCTTTAAAGACTCATGGACCTGGGAAGTGGGATCTTTTTTTGTATTTTTTTTTTTTTAAGGACGCGGGAGCCTCGTGGCTCTGGGCGCAGGCGATGAGGTTAAATGCCTGTACTCACATTGTATCTTCCTTCCAGTTTTATGGCCACGGGCAGGTCCCCCAGCCCCTTGGTGCCCACGCTGCTCCATCGGCAGTGTCCTCGCAGGGCAGGCGGGGTGGGCGGGGGCGCGGGGCGGTGAGCATTCTAAAATGTCAGCCGCTGGCACACGCAACGCCATTAAACACAGTAAGTGTCATTTTTTAAAACAGAAGATTTGGTTCTTGTGGAAGTTTGTACTTAAAATTCAGATCTGTGAGCCCCGGCTGGTGTGGCTCAGTGGGTTGAGCTCTGGCCTACACACCGGAAGGTCACTGGTTTGATTCCAGCCAGGGCACAGGCCTGGGTTGCAGGCCGGTCCCCAGGTGGAGGCGTGCGAGAGGCAACCAGTTGCTGTTTCTCTCACATAGCAATGTTTCTCTCCGTTTCCCTTCCTTCCCCTCTCTCTGAAGATAAATACATAAAATCTTTTTTAAAAAGATACTGCCCAGCACTTAGCACTTCCTGGAGCACCGATCTCCTGCCCCGCACCTGGGCCGGGAGCAGGGCAGGGGCAGGTAGCAGGCCCCTCAGGACGGAGCGTCCAATGTCGCTGCTGGTCGCTCCCTCCACATGGGAGGACAGGGCCTCGGGAGGAAACTTCCAGCAAGCCTGTGTTCCAAAGGTCCCAGCGAAGTCAGCCGTTGGGGCGGCCCCACAGGCAGCCGGGGTCAGGAGACCTCCTGAGGCTGACGTGGAGAGGAGCTGCAACGCCGCAGGGTGCGGGTCAGAGAGGAGCAGCCGGCAGGCCTGTGAGCGGGGCCCCTCCCCTGCCGCGCGGGCCCCGCTCCCCAGCTGCGTGGCTAGAGTAGCCCTTCCTCACCTGTGCTCCGGTTCTCTCACCTGGAAAATTGGGCACACAGCAACATTCGCTCTGCAGGGTTTGGGAGGAGGTAGGTA